CTAATATTTCGTGACTATAAATAATATTTTCAAGATTTCTTTAAAATGCTTAAAATAATAGCAATTAAAATTCGGCAAATCGAAATTAATAGAGGAAATAGAATTATAATATAACCCTGTCTATCAGATCTGTTAGTCCAATATCGAACTTTTTGCATATGTCTACAAAAGCATTTTATTTATAATTAACATAACTTCACAGTTTGTCATTTTTAAATAACTCTTCTTTATTATACTGACCGCAGGGAAAATTTCGGAATATCTCTGGCAGATGATTGATACTTTAAGACACAGAGAGAGAGAAAGAATTTCAATCAATCTTAAAATAAATTTCAGTTTTGAGAGTTCATTCACTCCTCGATATATGACCATTTCATAAGATCGATTCGAAAGAATTCGAAATAAGGTTTAAATTATGGAAAGTCGATAGCCTATATTTTGAAAGTTTAACAGCATCTCTGCGATCAAGCTGTCATCGCCGCACCTTAAAAATAATGCGGATGGAAATAAAAGTCGCATTGTCAGATTGAGGCCCTAAATTAGACGTTCGTTCACGAACTGCACGGGCTTAAAACTATAAACAAAGATTACATCCCAACTTAATCTTACCTTTCCCTTTCTACCCGACCTCTTATCGATTGGCATTAAGTTAAACCTTTTCCTGTTTCATTTTGGTGATGTGGAAGAGTGGATTCTTTTTAGTTTAATTGGATTAAAATTTTTATTTTAAAACAAAATACTTTATCTAATAATTCCAGAAGTAAAAGATGTTTTATATTATTAAATTAATAATATATTTTTTTTTAAATCGAGGAACAAATATTCAAACAATTAGTTAACATAGCCTATTATGTTTTAAAAAAAATATATTCTATAGAAAAGCCACAAGAAACATTAGCGGAATATAAATGATAAAGAATCTGACTAAATCTAATATAGGGATGGAGAGCCTTGACCTTCCGTATGTAGGCCTATGTGGGCCGAACAGATACAAGTAAGTGGGTTTTCTTGACTAGTTATCATAGATATCAGGAAGTTTCAGCTTTTTAAATGACCAGAAATTGATTGGACAAACAATCTATGACTTATAAATAGGTTTAACTAACATTGAACTAATATCTTCTTTTTTAATTTTATATTTTAGCATGGTAGATCATTAGTGATTCCAGATAAATTAAATTCTTAATAATTCATAAGACAGTCACAGAAAAAAGAAAGAAAGCGATAGAATGAATAGGTTAGAGTCTGAAGACCCACTCAGAACCGTTGCTATACTAAGATTAATGAAATAGTTCTCCGGTGGTACAGTCTTTTGTTTGATCCTCATCAATGTCAATTCTGACATACAATATTCTATCGGATATTAAAAAGACATTTCGCAACAATTCATTGAACTTGTCCCCTGACCGTCCAAACTGTCGTGAGGCCTAGCTGTCAGGAGATAGAACCACGCCTCTTTCTAAACGGCCCCATTCTATTCTTGACATTAATTAGAGCTCATCTTCACGTCCTTGAATCTGACGTCCGAAGTCTAAGTTTTAAGGCTAACCTAATTATAGTCCAGTTTGATTAGTAGTCCCTACTGTTAAATATGTGAATCTCTTAATGTTTTACTGACGTGACCTTAAGTTAGCCAATTAGTTTTTTGATGACCCCGAGCGAAGGAAGACAACTCGAAATGTAGTTAATTTGATTTCTCATCATATGCGTATGATCATTGTGACTATTACGAATACGTTACTTTCTTCAAATTTTATAATTATCATTGCATAAAATAATTCGATAGTCATAACTGTATTTTTTATTTTTTAAATTTAAAATTATAACATTTTTTTTATTGTTTTTGTTGAATAATTTTTTTATATTTTGGAAATATAATTTTTACTAGGTTATCAGAAAAGATATTCATGTAAATTACTCAAGCACTAAAAGAGGAGTATATTTTCTTAAAATCTAGGTTACGTAGTGGATCTCACTGATCCAAATAACTTTCCATTGAAAGAAAGCCACGTGAGCTGCGTGGAAACAGTCCTCTTTACATCTCTTCACATAAATAGAGCGGTTTAAGGCAATTCACATCTCCATTACTATTCTGAGTGGGAATATCAGGTGTAGAAAAAGCATATATATCTTCTAGCTTTCTAAGTTATTATACAGGAACAGTTCCGCTTTGTTATTTTTCAATGTTTTCAATACCGGAAATAAGTCTGTCATTTTAGTTTTTATTTCAAGAATTATATAGGCCTAAATTAATTATACGATTTTCTTAATTATAGGTGTTAACATAAAAATGCTTAACCGGTAGGCTAACAAATAAGTTTTTGTTTTATATTTCGATTGTTCGAGTCGACTATGAATAACGATCTGTAATGGCGGCAGCGCCGAATAAAGACTGCTCTTCATATTAGGAATATTTGTTAAATAACTAGTCTATGATTAAGTCAGCTGCGTGCCTTCGCGGCACCCTTGTTGAGGCGGGGCCATTGCCGATAACTTAAGAAAGTGCAGTTATCGCCGATGCCTAAGTGAAGAGGATGGTACAGATCTGTTATCAAGCTAGTACCGAGGGTGGGGAGAACATTTGGTTATCGAAACTGCGTTCAGCAGAATATAGATGCGTTATTCTTAGGAAAGTGACACCGTATCTATCTTGGTATCCAGAACACGGCAAAACCAAATGGATAGTCTCACCCGGATACTCCGATCAGAAGAATGGAAGCGAATTTCTTATGAAAATAATCGCGTTTACTACTCGTTGTGACTGACGATTTTGTTTATGGTGTCGAGATACAAATGCAGGTGCAAGTAAAGTAAGTCTAAATGAGTTATTCTCGCCCGAAGCTCGGGATCTAGCTGACAATTGTTGATAACTTGTCAACTGATTTGAATACAGAACGGTCAACGCACTCGACGAGCTGTCCGTTTTCGATAGAGGTCTAACGCCGACAAGAGTTTTAGGGATTTATTTTGGATGTGATTTAATACTTTAATTTATAACTGCGGGCGAAATAGAACTATAACGAATCTCTATTCAAAGGGAGAAATTTATAAAATGCTTTTTTTATGGTTGGCTGTATCTGGTGAATTCGGGTCAACCGTAGTCTCAGCGACTAGTTTCGCATTACGACCTGTTAATGAGTGACGGTTATTGGAGAAAAAAGACGACGCGAGTCCACCCAAAGCGATGTCAAGACGACAAATTGCTTCATTGAACACAGACCGCAACTTAAACCTATTATGTTGGCACAAAGATTCCACCAGGTAGCGTGGTCACAACGGAGCTGCCTCCAGGCTTTGATTGGGGTGTGGTCCTCGTCCCGTCTCCCACTTGGCAGAACCCTTAATCTATTCATTTATTTGCTTGGCGGGGACACCCGACGCCAAAGGCAACCAAAGATTCCTAAAGTGTTTGGCCGAAATCTTCATAGGCGCTGGCTTCATCGTAAGGAAAAACCTACGTAGAGAACCAACGACTCCATTATACGATAATTATCACAATATTGTCGTAAATTTCGGCATTTAAAAAGATAGTTTAAAACAAAAACAACTTTAGTTTAAACATTGTTCTATTACATCGACAATGATGTGAATACAAAGTGAACGTTAGATGGCTACTGTTAATCCACATGAATAAAGATCTAATTTTTCTTTTTCTTTTTTCTTTCACTAAATTTAAAAACGAATAAAGCTTTAAACAAATTGCATTCCTTGTAGAAACGAAATAAATAATGCTGTAAAAGTGACATTTCTGCCTACGGATTCGAGTTTTAGAAAAATCAACTGTTTTCGACTAGATAATAATCTCGGTAATAATTCCTCTACTGTTTATCATTCCTAATCACAGATCTTTCTTAATCAAATAAAGAAAGTATTTTCTGAAGAATCTATTTAGAATTGCTATTGATTAGATCTATGTTATTTTGTTCGATCATTTTGCTAATAATTTAAAGCAATATTTTCGGTTTTGTTTATTACTTAATAAACAAAACCAAAAATATTCTACAGATTATAGCTATTTATTTATAATATAAAAATTGGATTGATATAAAATAATTCGTTTGATAATTTATAAAACTAATTTAGATCTATACTGAGATTTAAAATGTTTTTAAGAATATTAATTTTATTTTTAATTTATTGTACGGTACAGTACATTAAAGCAGATATGAGATTATTATAAGGCTTACTGTTATAGCTTCGCTACATTAAAATGGGACTTAACATAAGAAGCACTTTTAAAAATTTAAATTGAGATTAAAACTATAAGCGAGAAAATTTTAGTTATTTACGAATATAAACAATGGAATATTTTTGAAAATGTGATTGATTAAAAGTGTAAATTATAGATTTAAATTATGTTAATTAAGTCTATTCTTTAGACAAGTTTTTATGTGCATTAAATAAGCATTATAATAGATTATAAAGTCGATTAAAACAGATTGTTTTTGCTTTACATTGAAATATAATCTTCTGGAATCAATTTATATAAGAATTAACTTTAATGTATTATAACAGATTTAATTAACTTTTTATAAATTATCATGTTGAAATTTTCCTGAAAAAAATTAATAGGTATTTAGGCTACTGCTTTTTGGGTAAAATGAAACCATGAAAGAATTGAAACTAACATTAATTATTCGAAAATAAAAAAGGTAACACTCCTTTTATTAATCAAACCTTTAAAGTTGGCAAAATNTCAACGAAAATGTGTATTACAGAGAAAATCTTTAATTATTAGTTATTTATTTTTAATTTTACCAATAAAAATGATTAAATTTCATACGTTTATTTAAAAAAAAAATGGCACTATGCTTCTCATAAAAGGGCATTATTTGCTATTTGCGGGAAGGCGGAGGGGGTGTTGCGATCCGTCAACTGTGAACGGTAGAAATGTCAGCAAGATTTGGTATTATGGTGGGTGGTCCACGTGGCCCACGATTTTCTTCCGCCCTCGAATCCGAGGTGGCCAACATGAAAATATATCTCAGCCCTTCCCTTACTCCAATACATATAGGTCTAGTTGTTCGAGTTTTTGAGTCTCATCTTTTCTAATCATCTTCTAGTCATGCCTTTACTACTGGAAAAATTTTGGATATAATGCTGCTGAAATGGCTTAGAATTTTTGGTTTTCATTAATTGAATTGTAATTTTTGTTCTACTCTTACAGGAAATTATTTCGTATTAATTATCGCATTCATATTGAGGTAAGTTTTCATATGTAAAATTATATGGTATTATGGATTTATGAATAATTTACTGATGATTTTATTTGTCGACTAATTTATAATTATATTATATTATTTAAATTTAAAATTTATTTAAATAATTTTTATTGAATCTGCATGATATTCAATACCATAATATTCATTATTTCGAAATATATACTGTAATATAAAACTGTTATTTACGTTTTGTGGTTTTGTTTTGAACAGCGCAGATTGAAGTAATTATTTGGCGATTTTATCTCCGTTTTATTTAAATAAAATAATAATTTATTTATTCTTTTATGCTGCAAGTTAGCGACTAAGTATTTATGTCCAAGTATTTTTAATTCGAGATCAAACTTGTTCGATTTTTCAAACGTGTCACATTGCAATTAAAGTTTCTTTTCTCTATTCATTAGAGGTCGTATGTCACCGGACGGACATCAGATTTAACGACTAGAGCGACACCTATTCCCATCATTTTGCAGCACTATAGGAGGTGGGGACGGGCTGCACGAGACGAAGGGAGGGCGTTTCGCCGTGTCGTTGCACTATGACCCGCGCTCCACCCAATTTGCGGACCACGAAGCATTCCACCCCCTCCATCAGACGAAGAGGTGCTGATAGCTCCATTATAGTCGTTGATTGATGTGGTACCAATCAGATGATGAGAGATTAGCCATAACTTTGGGGCGTTTCGACTAACTGACGTATGGGACGAGGTGTTGAAGTATGAGATGTGGACCCATCGTTGTCGGTAAATCATTGGAAAAATCTTATTTATTTGGGATTGGAAAAGAAATTAATGACTGGCGATGCTGTGATGAAATGCAAGTCTTATCTTTCTTCCGTCTTCGTTTTAGAATCGGTCCTGGAAGGCTGATAAATGCCTGGAAAGATATCAGTGATGGTTAAACTGGATAGTCTACTTCATAGATTAATATTGGCACTGCAGATTCGATAATCTTTGACCCGATTTAATAGAGGCTGATTTCTTTAGTATTAGCACCTGGATTACCTTTTTTATACTATTACTTTTATATTCGTATTTAATTTCTGTCCCTTCAATTTTTTTAGATTCACTTCAGATATTCATGTGTCATACCGAAACTAGTGATTATTTAATCCATGAAAATCTTTTCTGAAAAAAAAAAATTCGAAATGTTTTCGTGCCATAACAATTTTTATAGGTGGAAACTAATAATGATAGACTTTCCTCCTATATAAAAGACTCTCCAAGGGATACCTATATTTCCTGATTCGTATCGAAATGTCTATTTGAGATCTGACAAGTCTGATATATATTACATTTAAAAACCGCAGTAGAATCAGTCAATCAGAAGATATCGCATTTCTAGAAATAATAATATTCAAGAGTGTTGTAAATCATCATGTTGTCTCACTAGACTTAGTTTCTATATTGATCTCTAGATGGCGTTAACGCTCTTTTATTATAAATTCACCTTTTCAAGAAGTTACGATGAAGTTCGTTAAGTATCTTAAAATTTAATAAGAGTTTATTCAAACGTGCGCTTTATTCACAAATATTAGTCGACATAAAATGTTTTAATTGCTAAATCTATTGATCAATGTTGTCAACCTTGAAAAAGTTTTTCCTTTATTCCAGCTTGGTATCCCGTTAAACAAGTATACATTAGCCAGTAGTTATCCACTTTAATTTTATATGGCTTATAGACAAAAATAAAATGATTCGTTAATAAAGGTTAAAAAAAAAGGAAATATAACCACTTTAAACAATAGAAAGATTTATCGACTGTTAACAATCTATCACATTGATTAAGATCTTTTAGATAAATGTTAGATCATTAAAGGGAGACGGAATTGAAATGGCCCACTTCTTAGTTGCTTGTGCAACTGTACAGCAGATTAAACAGGAAAAAAACGGAAATTAAAAAAGTGTATAACAAATTAAAAAGTCAAGAATATATATATAATTCTTGATAAGGTAATAAATTTGGGTTTTAAAAAATCCAACTTTAATTACAAGAATTTTTATTGACGTTTACATTAAGATTTAATCTGTTTATATTATTATTATTGTTGATTTTAAAAAAATAGAACATAAGTCAATACGACGAACACTGATAGAAATCTAAATAAATTTGACTTTAATAAGTAAATAATTGGTGAATAATTTAGCTTATTTTGGGTAATTATTAGCTTATTATTATCCTATTTCGTTTTACAAAGTTTCGTGTTTACGTCAACCATCGGCAACCGGTCGCTAATAAATGTTGTAGACAGCTTGTTAACTGCCAGTGGCTACACTTCTCTGCATAGTTTCACTTCAAAATCATTTCCATGAGTGTAAAAATTTAGAAATATATATTTATTCCGTTAATTATGTTTACATTAAAATACACTCGCTTGTAGAAAAATAAAGATACACAAGTATAATTCTATTATTTGTGATCATAAAGTTTAAATTTATTAATTTAAAACTCATAAGAATTAATTATACGTCTTTATGCATGGATTATTATTTTTATACTCTTTAATGAATACTTCATTTATGTATTCAATGCTTTTTAGAATAAAATTGGGAATAATAAACTCTATAGTCTAGTGATTACAAAACTTAATTTATTTTCATTTGATGTAGGCTGTATGTGCCCATAACTGACTTGTAGAAATAAAATATTCTGTAATTTATGCTGTATTATAAGGGAATTTCACTTATGTCTTAGCATCTTCCCTTTTTGTAAATAGATTACTCTAGTTTTTATATCTATCTATGCAAGTATTCTGGAGTAATCATTCCATAATGGGATGATTATTCCAAAATACTTAAACAAATTCTAAAACGCATTATATTAAAAACGGTTCATAAAGGGTATGGATATTAGTTTTAAATTATTTATTTACTTTTCTTGTCTTTATTAAATAATTATTTTAATATTTTATTATAGATAAAACTTTTAAAACGCTCATAATTTATCATGATACGTTACAAATCTCTTAAAGTTTCTAAACTTTAAGTTATAATTAAGTATTACATTTTTTGTATGATAGCACAATAGCTCGAAAGATTATTTTATCAATGTGAAAATTTACAGTTCGAATTCAATTATTATTCTCTTGATTTGTTTTATAAATTACTCAGGTCGGTATTTCGATCTAGATTCTTCATTCATACTCATTATTATAGATCACGTAAACAAAAATGGCAAGAGTGTAACATCACATAATATATTGAAATTTGGTGGAAAATTCGATTCTATTTTTCATGATGGACGTCAGTTTGAACTAAAAGACGGCAATGCAAATATTTATCACTGAAGTAGGATTCGAATTTATGATACAACGAACGAAAAAAACATGTAGTGTGTACAGAACAGTATAGTAGCCTACGTTCTCCCATTAAGTCTAAAATGATTCTCAATGTTATGTTTTGTGTGAATATTGCAAACATCGTAATGAAAACTCTCTCCATATTAATACATCAATTTAAATTCAATTAAGAATCATATTGCTAACTCGAAATATTTAGACGACGGCTATCGAGTAAACATTTCTATTAAAGGAGCCTGTGGAATTTCTCCGATATCTTTCCGCGGACACGAAACAGTAACAGATAAGGACGAGATAAGGCAATGCGATTTAGTTACCGATAACCATTGAATCGACGTTTCACGACCGGCCGCTCGTGTACCAACAACACGAAACATTCAGTTTCATTCTCGACCACGCGTCGAAGTGCGTGACACGACGTATTAATTAAGCATCCCACGCCCGAATGACGTCACGACAACCATTAACGCCTTTCCAGATACGGTAGCGATCTCGTAAGCCCGCAGCAGGCTCCGAAGCACATGGCTGGAAGCCACATCGCTGACTTAATAAGGACAGCAAAGTGTCAAACTCGAACGCATTCAACCGATACGAGGATGGAATCGAAAAATTCCATTCGATGTCGAATTGCAACTCCACGAGCGGTTGTCACCTTTGGTTATTCATGGGCCTAAACGTGAGATAAGAACAATGTCGTTGGGAAGAAAACAACCAGAAAAAGACAAGGTCTTTCGAGTAGAACCACAAACATGCAGTCAAAGGCCGATAGGTTAGCTATAAAATAGAAGAAACTCGTGCAGCAAATTTCGTTTTTTTCATCTAGTCTCTATTACACCACTTTATTAGCTTCTTGCACGTTCTTATAATGAATTTTTGCATAAATTTCTAATTGCAATCCATAATATGTAATTACTTAGTTTTTTATGAAGTAAAACACTCGAACTTTCGAGTGGCTCCTTTATTAAATCATACTATTAATTTTTTCTTCTTCGAACAACTTAACGAAATTTCCACTTTGTATTTGTTAGCTTGTAGGATTCATGAAAAACTGGGTTATCGTTTAATCTATTTACAGATCCCGTATTTTAGACTTTAATTTCTATATCTCATTTCATAAATTACTGCTTTTTTAAANTGAGATTATTATAAGGCTTACTGTTATAGCTTCGCTACATTAAAATGGGACTTAACATAAGAAGCACTTTTAAAAATTTAAATTGAGATTAAAACTATAAGCGAGAAAATTTTAGTTATTTACGAATATAAACAATGGAATATTTTTGAAAATGTGATTGATTAAAAGTGTAAATTATAGATTTAAATTATGTTAATTAAGTCTATTCTTTAGACAAGTTTTTATGTGCATTAAATAAGCATTATAATAGATTATAAAGTCGATTAAAACAGATTGTTTTTGCTTTACATTGAAATATAATCTTCTGGAATCAATTTATATAAGAATTAACTTTAATGTATTATAACAGATTTAATTAACTTTTTATAAATTATCATGTTGAAATTTTCCTGAAAAAAATTAATAGGTATTTAGGCTACTGCTTTTTGGCTAAAATGAAACCATGAAAGAATTGAAACTAACATTAATTATTCGAAAATAGAAAAGGTAACACTCCTTTTATTAATCAAACCTTTAAAGTTGGCAAAATGAGTAAAAGCTATAAAAAATAGAT